AACCCCCGACGCGTGTGGAGCGGCCCGTGAGGGGCCGGGCCGCGCTGTGAACCGGCGGTGTCCCCCGGCTAAACCAGGCCTTCTCGGGAGCCCCTTGCCTGGTTTGGGGCGTTTCTCCGTGTGTGCAGCTGGCCACGCAGCGTCTGTCCTGGGCACGAGTGTCTCCGACCTCCCGTAACGCACGTTTTAAAATACGTTTTAAAATCTGTGTATCTTCAGCTTGGCTTGCCCTTTCACTCAGGCCTGCAGCTTTGTGGGCTGCTCCCTTCCAGCGATTTCAGAGACTGCTTAAACACTAGCAGGAGATCGCAGGGGCGTTATAAACTGGAGGGTGCTGGAGGGTTCGATCCAGGAAAGAAACTTCATCACTGCAGCAACTTCTGGGCACCATTTGAGAGTCTTTTCGTTCCACCTAGTTTCTCTGCAGTTAGGTTGCTTATCATGAATAAAAATGATAAGACTTCTTCCCCCACCATGCACACACATATTGAAATTAAAATATTAATGTTGCTTGCCTTAAAAAATTCTTTTTTTTTATTATGTCCATTTTTTTGTCTTGTTTACGTTGATGGCTACTAAAATACCCATCCTGAATGGCAGCGTTAACCGCCTTTCCCAAATCATAAACGCAAGGGCTGTTAGTAACATCACAACGTGCCCGTTACCCCTGGAATTGTGAATCTCATGTCAAGTCCAATGTGAAATTAGTCCCCGCTTACTAGCTAATGGATTCTGCTTCATGTCGTGTCCTACAACAGCTAATTCGGTAGAGTACATTCTCCTGTGATTGATGGTTCTTTATTGCTGGAAAACAACCAGTAAAGGTTGAGTTGCCATTAATTTTTTTAAAAATGTTAATATCCATTAAATTTTTATAACTGAATATGACAGAGCCTATGTGGTTTCTTGCTTGTGGTGGTTTAATTAACCATTTTTTCCCCTGTATATTTATATGGGACTGTATGTCAGACACTGGCTGAAAGGAGTTTAGCTGCCTTCAGTTCACTCTTTCATGTGAAGTGTACTCTCCTACAGTAAGATGGTGGAATATTTACCCCAATCAACAGATGCTGCTAATGAAAGACTAAAACTCCTGCACAGAGGGAACGGAGTTGTCTCCCTCTCAAAAGGGAGTAGACATTGAGCTTAGTTAGCCAGCAGTGTATGACAGATTCCCATAACCTGGATTGCAGTGTTGTTATTTTTCCTTATTTTTATGTAATACTCTCTTTTAAATTGAAATTTCTGCTCCTGTTTTTTACCAATTTATTAACCCCCTGGAGATTTCAAAAGCCAGTTTTTAGATTTGCTTCCTTGGAAGGCTGTGGAGAACCAGCCTGTGAATGTGCTGCCGTGACATTTGCAGGTGTACAGTCCGGGCCATAGTAACCAGCTTTGAAGGGATGAGTAGGCTTTGAAAAGGTCATACACAGATCGTGTATTTAGCATTTTCCTTCTACAGATCTTCTTGTTTACAAATGTTTTAATTAATCCTTTAGCAGCTGCTTCCACAGGTACTGATAGGATGTATTATCACGATTCAACAGGCAGGTAAAGTGGCACCCAAAGATGACCTGTGTGCTAAGAACTGAACCGCGTGTGCTCACCTCTTGATGTCAAAAGATGACTCAAGCTTTTAGATCTTGCACTATTTGATCCAGGTCCCATTGCTTGGGGAAGCTAATCCAAATAACCACTCAGTTACTGACTTACATACTCTGTGTCTACCACAATGGGTTTTAATTCATCCATGTGCGTTCACATTTTAGATAAATGTGATCACATATTTTTAATCTAGTTATTACTGTAGTAATCTTTAGGAACATAATCTTTAAAATGTAATGCAAAATGATTATTTAATTGGGTGCTTGTAGCAGAAATTTCCTGTTGAGATTTCTGACTGGCTAACCAATTTCCTTGAGCAATATGGTTTTCCACATGATAGATTCCCTTATTTTCCTCCAGAAGATACTGTAATTTTAATTGGAAAGCTTTGACATATTTTGAATCGACTCAGAAAACAAAAGTCAATTTTTCTTTCATTAAAGATCTTGTACAAAGGGATGCAAATAGAAATATAAATGGAAAATGAGACACCAGCACTATATTGGCTTTTTACTTAAGGGTTTGGTTTGTTTTGCTTGAGTCTAAAGACTGAAAAGGTGTGGGGGATTGTACATAATATATATATTACACATGTATATTACCTATATATTTTAAATAAGCTCAGTAATGCAGGATTTTTGTGGGAGGCAAGTGTTTTGTGATGTCTTCTTGGGCTGTATTGCCAACCAAGCCCATTTTAGCTGGGACCTGAACAATGTCCGAGCCTCTGCTAGTGTTCAGGAGACAGATGTGCCCCACTGGCACATTAGCTGTCAACCTGCAGGCTTATCTAAACACAAAAATGATGCTGTGTTAAATGAGAGGGGTAAACTTAGTTGATATAAAATTCTTCTGCAGTGTTGCACATACAGGTATGCTTTGATAGCAGCAAAGCAACTTTTGTACAGGAGTGTGTATAAACTGTACTGGTAGACTTGCCTCTAGCTGGGAATTATTACATAGGTATAAATGTACACCTCTGACAGATACATTTATTCAAACACTTTCTGTAGACCTTAGGGGAGGTCCCAGCTCCTAGGGATGAGAGAAGATAAGAATTATTAATGTAAAATTGTGAAGAGTTCTGCTTTTTCCAGAATGTTTGGTGAAATGGGTTAACATTGTTGATACTTGAATTGTCACTCAGTTCAGGCACCTGACTTGAGACAAATGGAAATAAAAGGGATGTTTCACAAATCTTAGGTCTGTAGTTTTGCGCTGTCCGCAATTTTTCATAGGCCGTGACGGATGGCCTCTTTTACTCCCAGCTGTGAGAGGGGTTACTGTTACAATCTGCCTGTTCCCATCCTTTGCCAAAGGTTATCACTGAGGAAGCAGTTTACAGGAATGTCCTTGTCTTAGGTACAAACAGCAGTCTTACACTAAACTAAATTATTAGTCTCAACTAACTTGGCAGAGTGTTCCTGCAGTGAGTTAACAGGTGCTTACACATACTGCTTGGCTGGTACTTGAGTGGGTCATCCATGAGAAGTTAAGAGCCGGTAGCATCTTCCTTAGCACAGCTGGATACACGAGACTTCTTTTCATAGCCTCAGTTACTTTTTTCCACTTCCAAAGGCAGGTTCCAGCTTTCAGAGCTACAAACTCAAACGACTTCACTAAATGAAATCTGAGGGGAAAAGAGGATGGTTCAAAGTCTAGATGTTTCAAAAAGTGACCAACTTGCTGTGACCTAGTTGTAGCCCTGAGCTCCAGTGCTGTTTGTGTGGGTGATGTTGGTTTCTGATGTGCAGCAATAACTTCAACACCATTACATTCTTTCTGGCCTTTGCTGAAACATTAGAAAAATTTTAGTTGCAGAGTTGTAACAGCTCAGACCCATCAAAACTAACCAGGAAAGGTTTCTTTCTTCGTATGAAGTACAGATGTGGCTGACTGTGAACTTGCAGTAGATGGTTGTGATGAGCAGTTGTTTACTTTTGCATTGTCTGTTTGCCCAAACTTAGACCAAACCCATAGAAAAATCACAAAAAGCCTTTGCTTTTTATATCAACTGGTAAATATTATGTAATGGATAATTATCGTCATGTAATTATTGCATGTTCAGAACATACTTATGGTGCAAAAAACTGAAGCTGTGTGTTTATGTGTCTTTCGTTTTAGTTCATGCAAAGGGGTTTGGATTCACAAACTAAAAAACAACTAGAAGAGGAAGAAAAGAAGATAATTAGTGAAGAACACTGGTATCTTGATTTACCAGATCTAAAGGAGAAAGAGTAAGCTTGTACCCTTTTGTGCTTCTTATCATCATTGATTGTTGTGGATTGGGAATAGAATATACGCATTTTTTCCTATAAAACAAGTACTATTAACTAATTAACAGAAGCACAAATAGTGACAGACTGGCACTAAAGCTTTTTAATTTATTTATTTCAGGGACGTTCTCAAGGTTGCCTAGTGCAGTTTGACCTACTTTCATTTCGTGTGCGTGTTGTTTTCTTTCACTCAGTTTCTTCTAGATGCATGTAATTAGTTTCTTTCAGGCAGAGACCACTTCATTCATTGCTGCTTTCTCCCTTCATTTGAAAAAAGAAGTTTGAAACCTTGTGTTAGTAAATTCAGCTCCCGTCACACAGTTAGGTCCATTCAGGACAGTTCTGTCTTCTCGAGTCCAGCTCGCTTCAAATCCTGTTTTTGAAACAGGAGAGGTAATGGGAAAAATAAAGGAAGACTTAGCT